AATGAATTTTAATTACTGTCTTGATTAGCCGTGCGGTATTGCCTGAAGCTCAGCGCAAAACCTCTCGCAAAGGGTGGTCTACTCGGCTTTTTCGCTCCAGAGCCTGTAATACATGATACAGACATAGTACGATGAAATTTCTTGCCCAGACCTTAATGCTGCATTACCTTAAAATACAACACAGTCAAGAATTGAAGGAACTTTTATTGGAAACATTATGCAATTCAGAACAGTCCAGAAAAAGTTATGTTCGGAATGGAATTATTAATTTGTTATTTTTCGAAGGACGTAAAGAGAACGGAGTGACAATAACTCTCAAAAAAGAAACGACAACTTTGAGTTTAAATTTACAAGACATGTTTCGACATTCTCATGTCATCTTCAGTTGCAAATGAGCATTTAACGGTTGTACATTTGAATTTATATTAAGGTACGTTACAAATTACGTGACAGGGCTTACGTTACATTTGAATGTTAAAAACGCGAAAAATGTAAATAGCGCGCGCTTGATTAGATAAAAAAATAAAAATAAAATAATAACAATAATAAATTAAAAGACCAAGGAACTAAAAGGAAAGAGACAATTCTATTTATTTATTTATTTTTTTGATCTAGTCAAGCGCGCGCTATTTACATTTTTTCGCGTTTTTAACATTCAAATGTAACGTAAGCCCTGTCACGTAATTTGTAACGTACCTTAATATAAATTCAAATGTACAACCGTTAAATGCTTATTTGCAACTGAAGATGACATGAGAATGTCGAAACTTGTCTTGTAAATTTAAACTCAAAAGTTTTTGTTTCTTTTTTGAAAATATCATTGTCAATTAAAGAAGAGACCACACTTAACCACTGCCTATTTGTTTTTACCGCAATATCAACGTCAAAATTTTGGAGTCATCCATGTTTGAGAGGTTAACACGTTAACACAAGAACCGCCTGTACTCTTATCGAGAACGGCAAATTGCGGCAATGGTAAAAAAAAATTGCTTATTTTTAAACTCTGGGCCAAACTATTTTTATTCCGCTCTAGCTTCGCGCATTACTGACAGAAGTTTTCTTTCACTTCGCTGACTAATTCATTAATCGTATCGGTCGGAGCTAATTTATGAGCAAGGAAAAAAAAAGAAATTGTTAGATAATTCTCCCAAGTACATCGACATACATCACAAACAAAGTACTGATACTGGAGTGGCTTTTATTTTTCCATCTTTGATTATCACCAATAACATCTGCAGATAAAGAATGTGGTGAAAGTAATACTACAATAGTCCTGCACCATTATATCCCCGGCTCTTGATGGACGTCTTTATCCTGAAAAAGAAACAAAAACAGCTCTGTTTAATTTACTTTGGGTATATCAGAATCGAGGGAAACTGAAAAACTCAGGGGCGTTTGTATTTTATTCCGAGATTCCGGCTGATATCAACGATATAATCTATACCCACCCTTTTCATTGGCTTCTGGTCAACGGACTCAGCCAGGCATTATCAAAACTGGTCATTTCTTAATATCCTATTTATCGACTCACATCAAAATACTCACCACATGCAAATATTATAAGAACATCCAGTTCCAGGCGTTCAGTTAACAAAACGGAGCGTTTAAATAAACGGCGCGATAAAAGCGCTCGGGTTGGGTTACCCGAACCGACACCAGCCTCAACTACTGAGCCCGTCATTTGTAAACCAATTTAATGTATTCGAGGCACATCGCATCATAATAGCTCTTTTAACTGTGATGTGTAAAAAAAATACGAATCTCCACATATCTATATTTAGATATTGTAAAAATATTTAAAAATCTGAGGATGCAATGGGGCGGGGGGGACTGTGGGATATATTGATGAATTTGAAATCAAAGCATTAGAAAGCACTGTCAACAATCTAGAATTCATGTAATGAACTAGTTATCATTAACGGGTAACCGATCAGATCCCCTTAGAATCGCTTCATCATTATTTATGTGAAGGATCCACTGACCATAGAGTTCACAAAGTGTTTATCTTTTTCAGTTGTTTTAATTCTGCGTCCCTCATCCGCTAGAAGAATTTCTCTTCCATACACACGTGTAATGCTTCTGTAGAATCAATCTACTCAGTCCCCTCTCCGGTCTTCCCGCGAGCGAAAGACGAAGGGCTAAAGCTCCAAATGACACCTTTTGAACTCTTCATAGTGGCCAGTTTACTTTGTCAACTCAGTTGATAAAACCTAAATTACCCAGTTATTCTCTCTCACCGACGCAGCACCATAGTTTCTTTAGAAACTTACCTCCTTTATTCATGAAGCTAAATCTTTGCTGTTTTCTTGGGTGATTTTAGTTTCTAGAAACAAAAGGGGGTTTCTAAAGTTCACCTAACTTTTTTTCAAACACGTTAGTCATACTTTTAGTCTTTAAGATGAGTAATTCTCCTAAAAAGGTAAAGGAGCAACAAAACGTTGTTACAAAGATACTTACGGAATTTTTGTTCGTTACAGGTAGCTGTCTTTTTAGCTGGCCCTAGTCCACTGCAGTCTTTTCCACCATTAAATGGCGGGGGATTGGTGCAGGTTCTTCACTCCTCCTCCACACGTCACAGTGCACTTCGACTCTGACCATTCAGTGTATCCTCCGTCAACAGCTTTGATATAGAGAAAATTAATCCGTCTAATAATCTGTATATCATATTTGGTAAATATAAGTGCGTTATTCCTCGTAAGCCAAAGCTCAGAAAATCTTCAGTCGTTAATTAAGATTTTTTTCTCTTCACGCACGACGGATATTTCATTGAGTTCAAATCATGCTAGTCTTAAGAGCACAGTTTCAGACTGTGCAATGATTAATTCTTGCAAAAAGGCAAGGAACAGCAGAAAATCGTATTAAATATACTCACAGCATTTTTGTTCGTTACATGGAACTGTCTTTTTAGCTGGTCCCAGTTCACTGCAGTCTTTTCCGGCCATCGCTAGATTGCAGGGGATTGGTGCAGGTTCTTGTCATTGTTTTTCACTTCTCCTCCGCAAATGACACTGCACTTGGACTCGGACCAGTCAGTGTATCCTCCGTCAACAGCTTGAAAGAGAAAATTAGTTCATCTTTGAATTTTTTTTTCTCGGTGGTCTAGGTAAGTGCGTTACTCCTCTTAAGTAATATCCCATAAAATCTTCAGCTGTCATGTAGAATTGTTTCAATAAAAAAAGTGGTTACAAAGATGCTTACGGCATTTTTGTTCGTTACATGGAGCTGTCTTTTCAGCTGGTCCCAATTCACTGCGGTCGTTTCTACCGTTAGAGGGAGGAGGATTAGTGCAGGTCCTTGTCATTGTCTTCACTCCTCCTCCACACTTCACACTGCACACTTCACACTGCACACTTCACACTGCACACTTCACACTGCACACTTCACACTGCACTTCGACTCAGACCATTCAGTGTATCCTCCGTCAACAGCTTTAAAAGAGAAAAATATTCTGTCTATGAAGTTGTTTATCATATTTGGTCCATATAAGTGCGTTATTTCTCTTAAGTAAAAGTTCATAAAGTCTTCAGCTGTCGTACCGAATTTTTTAATCTCTTAAAACAATAAATCTTTCTTAAAGTTCGAGTCTTAAAATCATAGTTTCAGGCCTAAAATATAAGGACCGAAAAAAAAAGTGGTTGCAAAGATACTTACGGCATTTTTGTTCGTTATATGGAGCTGTCATTTTCGAAGCGATTGCGACTACAACAAGGCAGTGGGCAACCATCCTCGGCCATGCATGGCCTTCATTTATTATCTTAGCAATGAAACTTTTCTTAACGCGATGTATCATACTGAAATTGTTAAACTATTCAACAATTCAGTCCAAGGGAAACAAACGGTAAATGAGCTAGGTACAAAAAAGCAATCAAAACAGCCCAAGCTATCTTTTTCTCAAACCCAGAGGTCTATATTTAAAAGATTAACCCTGTCAAAGTTAAAAAGGTTTAGCCTCTATTACCTCCAAAGCTTTTGTGGTTTCCCTAAAAGGAACCATCTTTCTGTCATCCCACTTGCCAATCCAGGGCTGTCCGTCAGTGAAGATCAGCATAAGGTTTTGAGCATCAAGCCTGTCTCCTCCCGGTGGGATGAACGATTTCTTTGAGGCCGCTCGCAGTACAAGATCTGTCACGGTGTTCCCGCTTTGCCTGGAACACGTTTGAAATCCTTGCTGACGGTTTCCTTTAAGGTTTTGGCATTGTAGCATTTTTTTTGTCATTAAAGTAAGTCTTGATAGAGGCCCATCCTCCAAAAGTGACAATTGCATAATGATTTCCTTCAGCAGAGACGCCCAGCTTATTCACCAACGACTTCACCAGGTCGACCAACTTATTATGGTGGCTCTTTTCCATGCGCTTTGATATATCACCGACAAGGGCGATATCCATTTTCGGGTTAAGACATTCATCTATTTAGGGGTAAAAACAAGAGAAATTGGTGTTTTGACTCCTGCTGCAAATGCAAGATTGTAATGGATATACGTTGACGATTCCTCGCTCTTAGCCAGTCCAAGCCAGTGCCAGCTGCAGCTGCAGCTGCTTAGTACGCTAACAAAGCTGTCTTCTACGGGTTTTTACTTTGTTTTGACTCTCAAACGTCTATAGAAGATAACATTCCAGCTCATGGCTAATTTCATCTCAGATACTATTGATTTCGAAAGTCCTGTACGGCAAGCTTGTGAATACTTATGGAGTGCTTTCTGGTTCGCATGGACTGGTGTTACCGCACCAGTGTGTAATGAGGTCGGAAAACATTTGTAATTGAAAAATGGGCAGCGTTGTTGTACAACTGATAACCAAAATTCAAAAGCGGTGGTTTTTAACTGCTACAAAACAATCTGCAGGTGTGAAAGTTAGTTTGATTCATACAGCATCGTTTTATTTTTAGTTTTCTTGTTCGGTGGTGTAATTTCTCCTAAGACTTGATAGATGGTTAATGAAAAAGCTTTGATTGCCGCGAGTAACAGTAATAATGCGAAAATTAAATGAAGGCCATTGCTTAAAGCTGGATTCAAAGTCAACTTATTTCAGTCCATGAAGACTGGGCCTTACAATTTTCCTTGTGGAGACCAATTTTGGAGTGGCAACGTGTGTTAATACATTGTGAATAAAAGATGTACAAAACTTTCGCCAGAGATGTTTCTGTAAAGAGGAATAACATTTGAAACGCGTCAGGCAATAAATTTTAACAACCTATCATAATGACTTTCTTCATTTTTTATTTTTGTCATCATTCGTAGTTTGTTCTTACCCAAAGATATACTGAGTGCGACTATGATGAAAACCCACAGAGTTTCCATATTGTGTTCCCTCAAAACCTGCAAATAAAAATAACAGTAATAATGATAGTAATAACGATAATAAAAATGACTGTCATAGCAAAACCAAAAGAGGATGACCACCCATACCTGTAGGTAGCATGGATACATACTATGATTATTTTCTGAAGTAAAAAAACTGAGGGACTCGTGAAAGTAGACCCCGCGAATGTAGTAGAGAACGTAAAGTAAAAAAATTTGGTAATTCAATCTGAGGTAAATTATCGCATTAATTGGGTTGGAGGGTTTTAAAAAAAGCTACATATAGTTAAAGAACACAGAATTGACGTGTGGGTAAGAGAGTACATCCATGATTACGATTTTACGATTTTTTACCTCTTCCGGTTGGCACATAAGTCGAATGCTTATCCTCATGTCGGGGGAGCTGAATAGTTTCTACAGTAATCCAAGAAGAACACGAAACTTGTCAGTAGTAAACAGAACTGAAAAAAACAATGGTCTCATTTGGTTTTTATATCTCTTTGACTAAACCAGTCGTTGGAATGATAGATCCTCTTAATCTCTGACTTATTTGAGCACCAGCACCTCTTCTCCAGCTGGTAGCGAAACTGACTCTCGTGCCTCCAGCATTACAACTTCGATTTTTGTTCCCTCGCTATAATACTGCCTTTGACACACTAGTGCCCCATTCTTGATTTCTTTTTTTAATTGTTCCATGCCTGTTTAACATATTTTTTAAATTGGATTACCTAGATCTGTTTTAGCATCATATGGGAAAATTACATTACTTTTTCTTTAAATATCTGTTTGGTGTTATTCTGTTATTCTTGGCATTATGGCTACATGTATTCGCACTTCTTATATCAACAGATTTAACACGGGTGTGGATTTTTACTTGAGACGAAAAATTCAACCGTGCCACGTGTAGATGTCTTCCTTCGAGAGCCTTTTCGAATGAATCTAACGGAACATTAGGCATTACTGTCTAATAGTTGTATTATAGACAGATTATGAAAAGAAAGGAAAGTTTACAATACTCAAGATGAACGTACCTTCTGTCTTTAAAACGAAAATTCTGGTTTCTACTTTTTCTTGAAACAAGAGCCAGGGGATCGATCTTTAATGATTGTCTCAACACAGTCAGGCACTCATTTAACAACGCGTATGAATAACTAACAACGCGTATGGTTAATTTGAACGCTCCTAAGTGCATAATCGAGAATTACCTTAACTTGTAGTCGTTATTTATTTTGGTGAAGATGCTAGTAAGTGAAGTATTATCGTCGGACTGAAGTGGTATCGTCTGTCTCACTGTGTTTCCCCTTCCTATATAGATTGCTTACGTTTCGCGAGCATACTGCTAGAGTTCTTTTCTAAAGAAAACCAATATAAATAGTTTGAAATCAAACCGTTATGATCCATGTCTGAAGTAGCTATATTACGATGCAAGCGACCACAGCCCGCAGGTAATTTATGTCTGTGTTATCCGCTTAGTGTACATCTGTTACTTGTGACTGCATAGGTACAGAATATGTTAAGCTGCCAATTGAAGTAAATTTGCAAGCCTTATAAATTATTTTGATTTTCTTCAAATATTGCTCGTATTCTTGCGGGCAAAGTAATAGAGACAATCGTGATTTTCAGCCATTTGAAAAATTTTATCTCTGACCCTCAAACAGCTGTGGGCACTTTCAGGAGTTAAGTTATATAAGTTCTATTTGCTTGTAAGATGACACGAGCAGAACTGGAATGAAATTTGATTAAACTTGCGCAATGCACTCGTCGTTTTATGTTGTCCTTCAGTGACATTTTAAAGTGATTAATAGTTTTAAGTTAGCCCTTACTGAGTTACTTTAAAAATTAAAGACTTTCGCCGTTCCACAGGATTAGCAGGAACAAGTGATGATGCTGTGAATCGGCCAATCCTTGGAAACTGTTTTTTTATGCAGTACCTAAGGTTTCGTTATAAACCGATATATAACAGTGCACGGATTACATCTGACCAAGCGCTTCAACGACATTTATACTGAACGAATAAGTCTTTACTGGCCTGCTAAGGTTAGATTTTATCAAAGGCTCGTTAAAGTGAGCTCAGGGATAAATAATAGCTATTGCAGATAACCATTATATAACGTTGAATCTCGTGGCTATAGGTGTGGGTTCGTCGGTTCCTTTGATCTAAACTGCCTCGCACTCATTGAAAAAAACATTGTAAAGGGTGATCAGGATATCACATGTGAATAACTGGAAAGCTCTTTTTCAAATCCTTTAGAATAGTCCACGTTTTATTCCTTTAGGCCGGCTTATTAAATGTTTCCTTATCTCTAAGGTTATTCTTGTTTGATGCTTAATCTTTATTTTCAGTTTTATTGCTTCATTTCGGCGATGGTATCATAAAAATTCCTTATCGTCAGTAGACAATGCGAATTATTCTCACAAATGCAGAAGGTTATCAAAGAAACATTTCTAGCCGCTTAAAAACTTCCTAAATTTAGCCATATGTGCCTTCGGCTCAAAACCAAGTTCAAAGTTAATCAGCGCTAAGGTTATCTCTCTGCAAGGTTTGAAAATATTATTCTTATAAGTTTAGACCCGCCCCAGTCACCGAAGAAATGCATAACAGATGTTCTCTATTATTTAAAGAGAGATGAATTTCTAGCTGGAATTCAATGGTATAAAGAAAGGGTTACAACACCAAAAAAGAAAAAGAAATCAGTCAAACCATATTGGGGTCACTTTAACCAAGAAATGTTAACAACACGTCTGTCTTTTTCAGATCGCAAACAAAATCTGATTATCTTTATACATAACAAAACAAGAGCTGTTAATTGGAAGCATTTTTTTAAAAGTGCAATGATAAATTTTATCTTTTTTTTATTGCTCTTATTCGTACAAACGAGCCTTGGTCAGACTGTTCCTCTTTTCTTGTGGTTTTGACTTTGATTATGGAACTGAACTGCAGTTTTTTGAACCCCTTTTTTTCCTATGTGAAAGCTTAGTAATACGTCGTTATCAAGAAACGTTATTAGATAATTTACATAATTAGACATGAGCCAATGGATCGATCTGAAATGTCTGCCACGACGCACCTAGGCGCTCTGATAAGAAGGCGTATAATAAATTAGAAGGCTTTGAGGAACAATTTAAGAATTACCTGAAAATTGTAGTGGTTATTCATGATGATGAATACACCGTTAATGAGATATATTGTTTGTCTCACCATATCGTTTCCTCTGACTTGGATCACCAAAGTTCCGAGTGCATAGCTTTAAACTTCTTTTCTAAGTCAAACTATTGCGATCGACATCGGGAATAACTATATCTTGAGAAAGACGATACTACTTAATAACCAATGTATTTTCAAACCTATTTTGCAAATTATGATTGCAGCCCGCGTGTAATTTATTTCTCTCATAAAGGGAATACCTTTTTTTATCTTAAGCTGCTTATTATATATTTGTTCCTTACAGCTCCATCGATTTTATTTAACAGGAGAAATTTTCAAGAGTTTGAAAATTCGTCTTAAGGAAGTTTTTACCCGATTAAATATGCAAGTGTTTTTCAGCGAAGCTTATTTAATTCGAGTTAGTGGTTCTTCGCGATGGAAAAAGTATCATACTTCATTGTCATTATCACGGCATACCTGATAGCGAGCGTTAGCAGCAAGGCGCGAGATATAAGATAACATTTTCTTTTCTGTCAGCGCCATCTAAGAATTTGAAGAGAGAAACACTCCAAGACAAAATTCCTAGAGCACGCCTCATTTCTCTAGCAACAACCTTCCCGTCTAGCTAACTTATTTTCAGTAGATTGGCCGATGGCAAATTTTGTACGGTACGGTATTATGACCTCTGCTTTGCGCTGAAGTGATAGGTCTTCTTCGTCTATTTGAGCAGCCAATCTTCCCCGACTCAGTTGTGTTTATCTCAACGACCATAGCAGAAGTAGCAATCGAAATGCTTCCCAAACCCTCTTTAACTTGGAGTGGGATCTCAACGGCTAACAAAGTGAATTTCTCCAAGGATTTGGTATATTGTTTTAGCGATCAGTGCCTTTCTAAAAAAAGATACCACTAAAAAAAACTTTAAAACCATCATTTTAGGGACAAGAAAATACTGACTATTACATTCTTCACAAGTTTCTTGTACTGGTACTTCTCTGTCCTATCATCCGTGGTTCTCATGACTTAGATCGAGCGGTTCCTTAGGACTTTAAGTCACCAGGAAATATCTCAGATACAAACCTGTTGCAACTGCGCTCTAAGCCAAACATGAAACCGAGAAATTGTCATATAAGATCCTTGATTGTAGTTTTGTAAATGTATTCCTTAAAAAGAAAAAAAACTGAGCATGAATATTGGAGGAGCGCCTTATCCTGCTACCAAAAGAAGGCTTCTATAGTATTGACACTTTGTAGGACCGTTGTTGTTCTTGAATCGGAATTTATTTATAACCCTCTGGGAGTATTGTCATCGGAGTCTCAGCCTTGTCTATGTTTACGCCCCACCGTTTGGCTTCTCCTCTCTTCTTATAAAGGATCAATGAAGTAGAAATGATTTCATTTCTGGTAGTGGTTGGGTAACTCGTGATAACCGAAAACTGGCTATTGCAAAACTGCCAGTGTTTGGTCAGACTTAAGGAAAGCACGTTTTGTTACTTACACGACGAGAAATCGCAATGGCGTCCGACCAAAACTGTTGAATGGCAATTCAATTTAGATATTAGATTAGCAGTAATTTAACACCTAGGTATTTGTTTAAAAGGCCTCTCATAAATGCCACTTCCCAGCGCGGGAGTCAGCTTTTCTTGTTAAGAGAATTATTTTCGCCTGAACAAGGTTTGGAAATTACCCGGGATCATTACGAGTTATTGATCTATCTCAGTCATGTTCTGTCAAGAAATTAACTTTAGTTTTATGCAGATGAATACTGTGAAAAAGGAAGAGGTTTTTTTTTTCGTTTGCCTTTCAACCGTTAGGCCTCTCCTCAAGGACTCTCACGTCTACGTCTGAGTTTTTGAGATGGTAAGCGGCATGCTTCTATTCAAATAAAGATGAAAGCATTGAGTTCGAGGCGATTAGCACTCCGG